TAGCACTAAATATGTTTAATGTAGTTATGGTGTTAGGATGGTCATACATAGGACATTTTTCTTAATAATTGGAAACAATGATACAGTTTTCAAAATATTTTGTCAATTTTCAAGTTGTTTATAGACAATTGATATTTTCAAATACTATTAGTTTTACAATTGGTGGTGACTAGCAATCCTTTAAATGAAATTAAATATTAGGTTTTTCTAGGGGTTTGTACATATGTACACCAATAAATAAATCTGCAATGGCCAAACTTAAAAAACAATTTTATTTCAATTTAAAACTAAATGAACTTAAATATATTTTATACACAAACCTCTTGGAACAGTAGTTTCATTTACAAACAAATAAAGATAATTATCACCTATTTTCCTATTATTCGCTATATATTATAATAAACTGCATTATTTTAAATTTTCAGAATTTACATTTTTTTTTTTTTTAAGTGTTTTGTTTAGAATATTTTAGTCTATTCACTCTAATATTAAAAATAACACCGTAAAATGTATTATTCTGAACACAAAATTAGCTATGAGTCAGTAAGATGATAGTACAACAATATAACCACAGACCTATAAATTAGTTTACAATGTTAATATATACCAAATTAAAATTTTAATACCTATCTAGATTCTAGTTCTAGTATATTATATTATCAGATATTAGTATTGTATAAAAACTTTAATATAATCAAATATTATCTATTAAATAAATTGACACCAATTATATTAGCTTTATGTCTACACATAGCATGTTTACAAGTAATTTGATAGTCAAAAAGTAAATTAGACTTGTATTAGAAGACCAAATAAAAAATAGAGATGCACCACCTCACATCATTACAAATTCCTGGGTATGCCACTGGATTGCACAATTTTTGCTAAAGAATATTTTACACAAATGCTTAATTCAAGTATTTAAAAATACAATTCCATTTCTCACTTTTGGATAAGTAATGAAAAGTTATTTATTTTTTTTAATTATTAATTTTATCTAAATATTATTCATTTTTGTGTGGAATTAAAAATACATTTTAAATATTTATAGAGGTGTAAAAATTACTTTTTTAAAGTGATGAAAATATTTATTTTTTCAAATAATGCATTTTTGTGATAAAATAAATAATTTTATCATTTGTAGGAAGTATTTCCTTGTTTTTATTGTACTGAGCGATCCAATCTATATTTCATATTTTTAATTCATAAAAAAAAGCTATATCACAATCCATGGGTAAATCAGTATCAGTAAACTTAGCTTTGTGAAATGATTTGACCACGATGGGAAATTTGCTTGTAGTTTTATTTTGTCAGAAAGAGTTGAGTATTTTACGAGTATATAAGTTACAAATATGCAATCTTTTATTTTTTATTATTATTATACAATATAGATTTTATAAGTCTCTTTAATTTCTATAATATAAACAAAAAAATACTTTATTTTTATAATCCAAAACCATATTCTTGTGTGAAATACATTGTAGAAACCTCATTGGTTATTAAATAGGGATATCTTAAGGAAAATGTATGCAAAATTTAGTCTTAATTGGCAATTAGTTCAAAAGTTTCCAATATTACCAAATATTAACAAATGTGCAATCATTTTTATACATAACAATTAAAACTGTGTAATTTAACTAGATTCTTCAGTTAAGAATACAATTATTATTAAGTATCACTCATAGAATTTATTTACAAGCATTTTAAAAACTTTATCATAATTTAAAATCACCTATAATAGGTAGTCTGAGTAATTTGCTATAATTCACTACAAGCAATACAAAACCAACTAAACTTTTATTATCTTAAGACTACTAATAACATTGGTTTTATAATATAAATATTAAGAGATATGAATATTAAACGTGTTTCACTAGAATAAAAAGATGAAATATATAAAATGATTTAAAATAATAAATAATACAGTAATCAAAAAGTCACAATGATGTAGATTTCCTTGCTATAGTAGAGCACAAAATGACATTAAGCTGCATATAAAGAGATAAATATAATAAAAATATCTGTGATAACAAGCAAAAGAATTTAGAAAAATTATATCCAGGTGTGCAAGAAGCTAAATGAAGCAACTAGTACTTGTTAATGAAGGCAATATTATAAAAAAATATCTATAAAACACAGAGTAAAAACTTTTGGTCAATAACAAATAATTATTACCAGTTGACATCTTAATATCACTTGATTGGTTTACCTATACAATATCTTCTATATTTACACTTACTCAACTCAATTATAAACAAAACTTTATAGTATCGTAGTTATATTTTTAAGGTAAAATTAGCTAAGAGATAATTATTTACTCATTTCTATTACATAAATAATACAAAATTAATTAATCTGATGGAAAAAATTGCAATATTCATTAAGTCCAGTGTTTTTTTATTAAATATGTCTGCAAGTCAACTATCTAATAAATACAATAATTATTAAAATCAAAAATATGTATCTTACCTGAATAACTTTGTTATGTGTTCATAGAACTGTATATAATACAGGTAATTAAATCATAAAATAGAATGTGGTTTTTCTATATTATGACATCGACAAAGAAGTAATTATTATAAAATATTAAATCAAAATTTCAAAAATGAACAATTTTACAAGTTTGAAGTTTCTCAACGAAGTATGAACTGCGAAAGATAAGAGTTATCAGCTCTAAACACGATGTGTGATAATGCAGACATTTGTATATAGTACTGATAATTATGATAAACGATTTCAGAGTTTCAGACGAATACTATAAGAATCTGTTATTGGCGATAATGCTGTTGCAAATAAAATTAAGAGATTTTTATTTTTAGTGAATTTTTTGTTAAAATTACCACAAAGCTCAACTGATTTTTTACTCATAATTTTCATAAATACAAATATTTCATCAAAAAATATTTTTACATTTTATAATATTTCTAAATATTAATTATTATTTATTACTTCATAAAAATGGGAAATGTATGTCAACTAGGGATTTAAAAAACACATTACAATAATACCTAGTGAAAACCCTCAAAATTAATACACATTGTAACGTAGGTATTATTTATTTTTTTTCATTATCAAATTTTCAAATTGTACCTATCATAAAATTTATATATCATCAAAATATATACTCTAATAAATAGTAAAATTAAAAACATGCTATAAAACTACAATTATGCCAAATCATTAAAATATGCTCTATAGCCTTTTAATATTTTTTCGTAGTGTCATGAAATTAATTTTAAGCTTACTTAGCGATAAATCTTATAGCCAAAGAAAAATATGCAAATGTAATAACACTTATGTAATAACTTCCGAATCCTAGCATGGCACAAAAATAAAAAGTTAACAGACAATAGACTAAATCAAAACAACACCGAATTAACTTGTCTGAACGCAAAGATTACCAAAATACTACAACTAACTACTAGCTAGGCCACCTAACGTTCGATACTGTTGTGGCGCCACGATAATAATATAGGTAGTAAATACTAAATAGTAATAACTAATAAAAGTAATACAAATAATATAAACAATAATAATATTTGGGGTCATAGGTACTAACAAAAAACGATTCTGAGCAGCGACTTTCTATACTTCTATAAAAATAAAAACTAAACATTTTATAAATAATTTACATATTTTTGTAATTTTTAAAATGATTTCTAATTGATTACAAAAAGTAAACTGTAAATATGTTTTTTTAATAATTTTAAATTTCAAAAAAAAAAAAAAAAATTTATAGGATTTTGTATTAACTTTTAAGCTTTTCAACTAAACAAAAATATTTCATTATCATTTAAAAAAAATGACTCAAAATTTAAAATGACTATACATAACTTGGGTTTTATTTCATTGAGTATAGTTAATAATAATGAAACGTTTTTCGAAACATTATTAATTTTCTACGATTAATACTCTTTGAGTTATATTTAAAATAGGTGAGGATTACATTTTGAGTTATGTTTATTAATTGATATAATACGGTATAAATATACATCATTATAATAATTAATTACTTTTTATATAATAAATGCAATATTTTTAGAAAAATTATTTTAACCTACCTTAATACTTAGCAAATTACTTTGATAGATATACAAAATTGTTTCCGTTCAGAATAGTTTTTGTTTACAATGATCAATTATTGAACTCAAATTTAACACACTTATAATTGTGATCCACTCGACAACTAAATTATAGCAGAGCGGTATCTACTTGCCTACCTTTATTATTATTATTTTGAATATCACTTTATGCATAATATTTTACTTACTTACCTTGATTTTATAACACTCTATTAATGCCAAAATTAACATATTATTAAGATACCAATCTAACAATAAAAATAATAATTTTAATTTTAATATTAATCTTAGTTCATAGGTACATGGTTAGTCTAATTATTGTTTATATAATGGTATAATGTTATAATCGTGTTTTTTACTCCAAAATTTAATTATTTTTACAACAAAATCCAAAATAAAAATACCTTAAATTGAACGTCTTATTGTGATGTTATTTATTAAAAAAAAGTTTTCTTTTATGATCATATCTGATATTTGTATAATTAAGTACATCTTTTTTCCAATCAGTAATAAGTTTACCGTTTGTTGTTTTGTATTTTTATAATTTTCTTTAAACGAGGTTATACGAATAGTTTTAAGTTTTAATAAATTCGTAGTTTAGAATAGTAAAATATTTTGAAAATTATGTAGGTTCGTTATATGTATAATAGGTACTTATTAAATAATTTAATAACTTGTTTGAATATCACTGATATAATTAATGTTTAACAATAAAGTTTCAATAATAATAATTATTATTTATCCATCCTGAATCTTAAATTATATTTAAAAAACAAAATATATGTTAATTTTAACTCCTTTTAAGATATGCATAGGCAATAGATTATATAGTATTACTGTTATCATTCATTAAGCATATAAGTAGGTATAATAAATTCTACTTTCCTTATCAGAGTTGATAAGTAATAAATGTATGGTCAATCACTTAATGGATTTTACAATGTTTTTTAAAATAAAAATCTGTGGTATAAATGTTAAGCATATGGAGTATGGATGACTTTAGTCATTAAAATTCTTAAAAATGTATGTATAATTCATCCAGTAGAATGTAACCAAGTTTGCTAAACAATTGGTTTTGAAATGGAGATCTAAGTAAGTACTCACTAAATAAATTATCTTTATTAGCTATTTTAATAATATATTTTCTATTAATTTTTATTTTTCAAACCACTTAGTATTTAGAGTATCTGGGGTGTGATAAATGTGTTTAACATTAAATAAATAAAGAGTAAATTTATCCTTTAATTTAAGTCTTGTACATTCAATGGTTATTGGTATTTGCATTTAACATATTTTTGATATAAGTGGCAAGATTCCTAAGAAAAATCTTAAGTTTAATTTATTTGAAATTTTTATCTTTGCAGAGACAATTAAATTTGGATCACTGTTGGAAGTCCTGCAAAGTTTAATGATTCCATAAAGAATTGAACAAGATGTGATCAATATAATTAACCATAAACAGTTAATTGACAATACTAAATTGGATTGAACAACACTTTTAAAAATTATAAGTCTATTGTACAGATATTTTGTGGAGGTGCTTGTATGTACCAAGGGATAATAGGTATATATATATATATATATATACAGGGACGGATTGGGCCATCAGGAAATCGGGAAATTCCCGATGGGCCGCATACTAACTAAATGACAGGCTTACTGCTCGCTATATAATCTCCACTGCTGTAGTCTGTTAAAAACTTACTAAGATTAGGGATATACAATTTTCTTTGTTATAAGTATTTAATTTTATTATTTTTATTTATTATAATTTAATTTTTTTTCATAGCAAGAATTGTAATTTGCAGAACAACAAACTAGAAAGCTATAGACCAATATTTTATATGACTATTAAATATTAGTACAATGTAACAGTATAACATTTTATACTGGGCAATATTGTATTATTGTAATGTTAATATTTTCTATAGGTACTCTATAATATTGCTAATAATAAGATATGTAATTAAATAGTAATATTTTAGTATTTTTTAAACAGTATATTAGTACATTGTATATATACATTTAAAGTAAATTGATTTTTAACTAAAAATTACATCTAATCACAACTGAGTATCTATTTAATCTATCTATATGTAAACCTCACAAATATATTATAATATAATAATTTTTATTGAAACAATGAAAACACCATAAATTATCAATAAATATTTTCTGCGCCTTTAAAGAATAAAAAAAAAATTATTATCTTCAATACACTTAGTATACTTGCGCTTAAACCGCCAACCCAACGAATTACTGCTAGTGCAGGACCGCTAAAAAGTTATTTTCCCAGGCTGGTCCGAAATTCCAATCTGTTCCTATATAAATTTGATTTAAGTGATGAAAATTGAGTTAAAATAATTATTATAATTTTATTAAATCTGAAAAATAAGTAATAATAATTCAATGATATAATTACTTAGTTTGTTTTATTAATTGCAACTCAAATAAAACAATTTTAGAATATAATCCAATTGAACTTGTTAGATATACATACATACATAATTTAAAAACTGTTAAATACATTTTATGAAAATTATAGTTCTTAAAAAGTAATTATACAGCTTAATACAACAATATGCAACAAGACCAAAAACAATTGAAAATTAAGAATTTTTGTTGACAATTAATACCAGACACAGAATGAAAGTAGCGTGTGGATAATTGATATTGATTTTGTTGCTCGTATAATGCCAGCATTATGTGTAGTATACTTGGTTATTTACATTATATCTATAAAACTTAATTTGCGTTTGTGAAATTTATATCTTTGTTCTTTTAAAAAAGAGATGGTTGTCAACTCATGTACTTATTTCATCTGACCTGTGCTATATTTTCAAATTACTTAATACAATTTTAGTATTTATCCGTATTTTATTTTATTATGTATGTTAACTAAATATTAAAAACAACATTATTTAATATTTTTCTAGAAAGATACTCCCTAGGCGCTATGAAGAATCAGTGGTAATATATATTATGGATGACTGCAAAGTTTTGAGTGGAAGATTGGTAAAATGAAGCTGTGACATAATACCAATATTGATATCCGAACCTTTGTTAAATGTTTTTAATAGAATAGCTAATAATCTAAATAATCTATAATTGTCGACAAATTTAATATTATTTCAATCAACTAATATAATATATACATACTTATTTTATCTAAATTCTATAAAGTTAATAATATAAAAAAAATTTTTTTATACCAATTACAGATTTCTCTTGTAAGTCTATAATTTTTATTTATAAAATAATTGTATATAAACAAATCATAACATAATATTATAGTTGAATATTATTGTATGTTTTATGTTAGGTACCTATGTAATAATACATGATCATGCAATACACTTGTATAATATCAAGATTCAAATAATAATCATACAATAAAGTAATTAATATTTAATATGGTTATTAAATATATACTAGCTTATAATTCAAAAAATTTATATTGGTAATAATTTCATCTGTAATGTAGTAAGTTTAAAAATAGAAGCCAAGATATTTATTTTTAAATATGACAGATCATCTTATAATAACTAAATTAAATGGCATTCATAAAACAAAAAACATTTTAAAATGATTTTAATTAAGTAAACATATTAGTAATTATATACATCTTATTTAGTTAATTCTTATACTTGTTTTTTTTTTTTTTTTTTTAATTTTCATTCATTACTTCCTTGTTATGTTCAGTAACACTTTAATAACCCATGTTTACTATTTTTAATTCATTCATTGTATCCTTTCTTATTAGTTATTATTAGGGCTGGGATTTATATGTAAATACATATTTTTAGTGAAACACGATAAATTAATTATTGCAAATGATAAATTCGTTTCACGTAATTTGCAATAAAATAAGACATATTTTATTTTACATATTTTTACATATTTCGTCATAAATACATATTTTTACATACTTTGTAAAATTTTCGATTTTTTTTTACATACTTCGTAAATTTTGACAATTTTGATGGTTTAGTAATATTTTATATTTTATTTCGATAACGGTACTCGACAAATTGTAAGTGTATAATGCATATAGGAAATAAGTAGGTTAAAATAAATATTAATAACTTGATTTTAGTTTATCTTATCTGTTTCTGTTCAATAACCATATCTTAATGATTTTAGATTAAACTTTATGTTCAACAATTATTTGACAAAATATATTTATGAATTTACTTTGTAATGTGGAACGCTCCTTTAGTAGGCATAAGTCAGTGTTAAGACCAAATCGCCGTACATTTAATTTTGAAATTTTAAAACAATATATGGTTTGTCATTGTTTCCCTTACGATTGATTAAACATCAATTTATTGTATTTCAATTTTTCTTAGTACATAATTTTTATTTTATACAACATATTTTTTATTTTATACTACATATTTTGGCAATTTTAATTACATATATAAGTACATATTTTTCGTTTTTTATTACATATAAATCCCAGCCCTAGTTATTATTATCCTACTATTCCTAATATAACATCGTAACTAGGGCTAGAATTTGTATGTAATCACATATTTTTAGTTAAACATGATTAATTAATAAAATTAAGATAAATAATAAACAATTTCACATAATATGAACTAAAATAAAGCATGTTTTATTTTACATATTTTATCATGAATGCATATTTTTACGTTATTTTTAAAATTTCTGCTTTAATTATATATATTTCATCAATTTCGTTAATAATACTAAAAAATTGAAGGTTTGGTAGTAGGTTAATAACTAGACTAACTAATGTCTAATAGTAAGTACAATGTTTTATATTATACTTTATTATAATGTTTTGGCGACTTTCTTTGTTTCTTTTCGATAATTATGAAGTAAGAGCCATGAATTATGGCAGTGAATAACCATCCTGTAATGTGGAACAATCTTTTAGTAATTTTTACTTAAAGCCTTGAAATTAAATCTTGAATATTATATTATTTACAATAAAATAATAATTCATAACTCAAGTTGTAGGCTTTTTGATTTGATTAATTATAAATTGATAAATTTTAATAAAAATCGCATATTAAAAACTATATTATTAACTATATACTATTATAGGTACTATTAAATACATAACATGTTTTTGATTTCTAACTACAAATAGGCATATGTCATAGATTATTTAGGCATCAAAAACTCTTGTTCTTCCTTCATATTATTTTTTTTTATTAGCGTCACTTAATGGTTATGCCAGTCTTATTTGAAATTATCATAATAAATAAGTCAAAACTTATGTTAAACTAATAAGATAACAGTTTTCATCGTATAATCATCACCTACGAGAAAAATAATGCTAAGCAAATAGTAATAGCTCTTAGTATAGTAATTATTTTTCGGTTTTATTGACATTAGTCACGGTATGTGGTTAACTCTAAAATCATGGAATAGGTAGGTATTACATAGATTACAAAATGTATTTAATTTATTTTGTAGAAAAATATTAAAGCACACAAACACACACTGAAAAAAAACGGGTAAGTAGAAAATTGCTTTGTTGTACAGTAGATGTCGAGTACTACAGAATTAAGTAAGGTACTTAAGTCTTAACTCATAAATGGACGTTTTAAACTGTTTAATTTTAGTTTAATAAGTAACAAATTATTGAAAAAATAAAAACAACTTTGAGTGGAAATGGTTTGTCAGCCTATATTAGGTAGGTACCAAGTATATTTTAAGATGATATAATATTATATTATTATATTGCTATTATAGTAATTTATACTAGATAGGTTCTGTCAGTAATACGGTAGGTTGAATGCATATTTATCATATTACTATAGTATTATTACAAGTAGATCTATAATATTTATTTTTAGTTTTTTCAAAAGTGTATAACGGTAATTAAAAATTATAAATACCAATAGATTATTTTGAAAATTTTATTAAGTATTGAAACTGATAATTTGAATAACAGTGGAATGTATCAAGTTACTATGGTTAATAATTATTACCTACTTTGAGAATTACTAAAAAAAAAAACCTAAGCCGTCCAATGAGAAATTGTATTTTTACGTGTGAATATCCAAGTTCGATGATATTTAAACTTCAGACGTCTATAAAAATATCCGTGTAATTACACACAACTAAGATTTTCTTAAAGTTCATATAATACGATATAGGAACCTTAATTCATAGGACATAATTATTCTACTATTATAGTAATATTGTATTATTTTCTACTGTGATGATATTATATAGTTGAAACCAACCCACTAGATTCATTTTTAATCACAGCGGCTAATCTTTGTTATAATATACTAGAACTAAACTTCTAAACTTGATAATTTGTGTGGCTTATACTATTTTTGATATAGTTATTAGTATTTTTTTTATTATTTAATCGCATGAACCACATTAATTTTATTGTAGATTCGATATCAACCTAAGGAGTTGAATATAGGCAATTTTTGATGGGCCCTTGTGTATGTAGTATTGTAGTGTAAATGTGTGCGAATAGTAAATAATCATTAATCATTAGTCATTAGTATGATTCATTTAGTGTTAAAAATTATAAGGAATACCAGACCGCTCCTGAATATATCATTAACACAGTACATGAATATAAATTATTTTACTTCAAATTATTAATATATTTTACCAATTTATAGTTTTAACTTATCTAATATATTATTTAATATTGAATATATATATATTATATTTTTTTAGACCATAATTATTAAAATAGTTCAATTAGTAACTTAATATCTTAAAATATTTATGACTTTAGTTTGACTATTATTACATGTTTAATGTCTAGCATACATTTGTTTTGTACTTTTAGAGGAAAATTTAATATGATTTATTTGGTCTTAGAAAATTAATAGGTAGGTAATTTAAAATTATATTTTTTTTCAGCTATGATTTCTTTTTAAGTTCAATCAATTTGCCAACAGCTTTAAATTGCCTAAATTATTAATTTATTTTTGCTTATAAACATATTTTCTTGATTATTTGTTATAGGTAGGTAGGAAGGTACTAGGTATATTAGTACATATCTATAAATTTAGTCTTTTCTAACATTGAATTCACTGTAATATTATAGAATTTTCATCTTTAGCAGCAATTAATACACATTCAAAATAAATGTTATCATTTTTAATATAAGTAACCCATATATTTTTGATTGTGTTTGAATTGCATTCTTCTATGCTTAACAATGGGGAATTAATAGCTAAATAATTTGCTAATAATTACAGTTAAAAGTGATATTTCAGACAAAATTGATATAGATAAAGCAACAAATATATTTATTTTTTTAATTAAAAGAGGAAAATGCACTAATATTTTGGTTATTCAATTAAAATTTCCTAAAGTTTATAGAATTTTAATTTGTAAATGCAATTATTTTTGTAAAACATCTAGCTACTATTTTATAATTCCAAATCATGTTATTAGTTAATAAAAAAAGTTTTATTTCAAAAGATTAAAGTAAAAAAACTATTTAAGTTTTAAAATATATAAGATGATAATGTTAATTTGATAAAAATGTAAGTAGAATTATTGCGTTTCTAAAAGATACTGTCAGATTTTTTAAATTATTTATTTGGGCTGTTCAAAACTATTGTTTCCTCCTTTTATTGAAAACTGAAATGTTGATATTAATTCTAAATAATTTTGTCTGGGAAATTATATCTGAAGACAATTGATAAAAACAATTTGTAGGTACATCAATACATTTTTAGAAATATATTTTGTTTCAGATTATTAAATTATAAATATGGTCTTCTGTTTCAATACCAACATTTTCATCAACAAACATTAAATAAAAAGATTAAAATTTTTGAGTCGTAAGTAGCCATGAAACGTTGTTTTAATAATTTTCCTACCTTAATGATACAAGATATAACATTATCTTAAAACTGTTTCTAAAAAGAAAAAGTTAAAGAATGTTTATAGTTAATTAATTAAATACCTATTAGCATTTTTAATTTTTTTTTATGTGATGAATGTGTTCAGCTTTCATTATTAAAATAGAATCACCCTACGTATAAACTATAAGTTATTCATGTATTTCTTTTTGTTATTTAAGTATAATTTTAGTATTATGAGGCACCAAGGTGTGTAAAAATCTATGTATACGCTATTAGTTTTTTTTTATAATAGAACGCATTGTACAATAA